TAGTGTAGTGCTGATACACTGTGTAGTGTAGTGCTGATACACTGTGTAGTGTAGTGCTGATACACTGTGTAGTATAGTGCTGATACCAATGTTTTTAAGTAAATGTGCTTCCTCATCTGTCTACACCATGCTTTTATCCCTGCTCTCTTAAGATTACACTTGGAATTCTCCAGAAATCTCTGTCTAACATTCACATGAAAAGCTCTGCGGTGCTGGAGAATGTTCTGAGACATCCAAGTAATGACTTTGAATAACCTGAGAATATATAAGAAGTTTTGGGTCTTCAAAGATCAACACCTCCCCCCCCACCCAGTTTGTGTCATACATTCTCACAACCCAGAGACAATCGGCTGCTATAGTACAGAGTGTATAAAATGTTAATATGAAAACTGTTGTATAAGCGCAGATGAAACCGCACAGGCTGCATTTTTTTGCCGCCAGCCATGAGTCCCTGTCTTCACCTTTCCTCCCAAATGTCAAAATACCCTGCCGAGTAAGCAGCACCGTCTGGTTGTGTGTTCTGCACTTTGAGCCAAAAATAACAGACTAGTTAAATCTAATGCTTTTTGACGGAAGTGGTGCAAGGGATCCAGAAATGGTTTCGCAGACTCTTTTGAAATATTTATCTATTGCTATTTGTTCCCCAGTTGTTGCTGTCATGTTCATAAATATTGCATGCAGGTGTAAGCAAGCTTGATGACTGGGATTCTCTTAATTGGCTTTCGCTTAATGTGCATTGTAAGCAGGGCACATGCATATGGGAACAATTCTGTCTTTTAAGTTGTGTGGAATTAAGCCTCATCCATGTGGAGACCCCCCCCCCCCCCCCTGCCCCTACTTTCCTGGAGATGGCGGTCAGACCAGCTGGGGGACGGGGGATGGGAGATTGTTCTAGATGAGGTCTGATCCTTACCGTAACCTGCTTTAGCGTAAGACAAGGCATGGCGACAATCGCTAGGCTTTTGCCAGATACACTCCAGCTAGATCCCTCTGACATCAACTCTAAGTACATTATTTTATTTTATTTTGTCAAAAGTCTTGATTGTCCTAGCTTGTTTTACAGGACACCTCGTATGTGAAATATACTTGATGATATAAACCATTCTGATTCTAATTCTGATTTCCACCAGTGCTGTGACATATCTCAATCGTAGAAGTAAAACCTTGGCTTGGGAAGATACAAAAAAAAAATCCCAGAAAATTTCCCCACAGGGTCGCTGGTTCGTTGTGTGGGCATAGATCTGTTTTCAGTCATGAATTTCGCCGGAAACGCCTTTCGTTCGCTGTGAGGATGCAGAGGCCGGCGTCATGTGGAGCGCTGTGCCCTGAAGCCCCATGTAAGCCTTCGCTTGGTGTGTCTCGAGATTAAGCTACAAGGGAAACATATTTAGCTAAAATAATACGACAGCATTGCTACCTCACACCTTCATGGCTGGGGGGTTGAATCCCGCCTCCACTCTGTGCATAAAAATGTTAAGCTTCATTTTTCAGTAACACGCGAAACAGGTACATTACATTGCCCCTTTTGGCATATCCCATCTTGCTGCCCTTTGGAGCGAAACACACACAAATATACACTTCGGGGCAAAAAACGGGCCAAACCCAGAATTGAAAAATATTAAGCTTTTAATGGTCTTAACAAAAAACCAAGGTACAACTTTACAATAAGGCTCACTGTAAGGCTCACTGTAAATGTTAAAATTGATTTACAGTCTTCTTGTATGCAAAGAAAAAATCATGAAAAGACAACACTATACTTGGGAGAAGACAAATAAAGAAGTAGTGCACTCTTACATAGTGTATTAGTTAAACAGAAACTAAGTGTTAATTAATACTGATTCCATTGTCATTTGTCATTAATCAGTCATAACGGTTCATGTATAACATGCTGTTACTATATTTGTACTTGACGAGTAACTGAGTTACTAAGTCACTTGTTGGCCTTAGTGCCAACAACTTACAACAAGCACTTAAGTTCACCAAGCCTGACTGTGAGCAAGCATAGATATTTTTAATAGAAAGTCTCCCATGTCCTTCCTACTCCATTCATAATATCTAAGACTGTCAGTTACATGACTTTTGGCTCAACCTTTGTCACTTTACGTTTCTCATCTAGTAGATCGATAGATGACAGAGACGTTACACGATAGATGACAGGGACTTCACACGATAGATGACAGGGACGTCACGCGATAGATGACAGGGACGTCACGCGATAGATGACAGGGACGTCACACTTTTCTCTCAGTTCCCAAACTTTGTACCTCATTTTCTATAAACCATAAAATACAATGGATCCAATGAGATTGAATAAAAGACACTGAAATCTCAGATTTTTTTACTTTTTATGTTATTGATAATATCATATATCTTCCACAAATGCAAAGGAAAGCCACTATAACCAGAGCAACACGTTACACAGGTACAAGTAGAATAAAACTTCATAAAAGCGTATGAAGGAAAACTCATATGTACAGTAACACTGGCTGTATTCTGCAAAGACAAAAAAACAACTGTGAATGAACAAAACAAGTACATGTTTAGGATAATTTAGCTAGCAGCATTTGATTGTTTAAATATTACCAAAGCCAGGTGGAACATATTTTAAATAAAAATCAGTAGGACACTGAATTGCATTCTTCTACACTGACTGCATGAAAAATAAAATACAGAAATCACATTTTAACTATTTTACTTTTAATGAGCAATAAAACCATGGTGGTTACATTTTATACGAGACATATATCCTGGTATATTTTTCATTTAAAATATGATAAGAATATTAAAATCTGTACTTAATGTAAAATATCTAGAAATTCCCTTAAAACTGTTGAAAATAAAAATGCTCCATAAAAAAATCTAGAAATCTCCTTTACCTTATATGGACATTTCAAATGAGTAAGTTAGGTTAAATAGACAAAGGCTCTATTTTCTGAGATTTTGAATTAGTCAGGTGCCCCCTACTGGATAATTTAGGTTCTGCTTGTCTGCTTCTTGCATGCCTTGTAATGAGTTATGGTTACTAGCGCTAAGAACTTTTGCACAGGAAAGCTCTGAAAAGGGGCACTATCATATTAAGATATTAACAGCTACTCCGATGAATGGCTTCCCTTGTGGTTTCAGGTTGACCTGAATTTATTGTTGCAAATAGAATGTGTGTTTTAATAAGTTATATTATTGAATAAGCAGTGGATTGCACACAACTTATTAATAAGTGAAAAAAATCACTTCCTTTATGTGTTTCCCTTCTGCCACTATTTGAAGATGAAGGGGTATTGTGTAAACGGGTGGAAAAGCAGTTATTAAACCTTTATTTCAAATCAAAAGTTGCAGCAGCTGTTGGGAGATAATTAATATATTGACTCAACAATCTTATCGCTGATTGACCCTTACAAAATACAGTGATACATCATCATCATCGTCGTCATCATCATCATTATGGTCCCATCACTTCTCCATGTAATAGTTGCAGTGAATAGCAATAAATTAAGGTGGCACCCAGTCACTAAATCTTAGGGTACCTCTAACACAGAGCTCTGCGGCTGCAGCTATAGGTGCAATGGCTCCTAGAATTTCCTGGGTTGTGGAGGAATTTAAATCATCAGTTTTCCCGAGAAAAGGTTTAGCAAAGGGCCTGTCAAAGGCTGAGCTACCCTGAAATGTGCCTTAAAGAGATTAATCAAATCCAAAACATACTAAGAATATAATGAAACATTCTATGAAACATTCTTTTCAGGATCAAAAGTAACTTAAAAATTAGGCCAGGAACAAATTTAAAAACTTTTCAATTTCTCTCTTTACAAAAGATTAATTAAAGCAGAAAATTTGGAAAATTTCAGCTGTCTAGACCCCATACAAAAAATCAGTGTTACAAATGGTATAAAAAGATTATAAAGGCTTCATTTTCATCACAGTAAAAACAGTAATAAAATAATGAATTATTATTATTATTCGAATGGGAATCTGTGTCACACAGTAACTATGCTCAAATTATAAAGGCTTCACTGCAACATTTAGGACACGACTTCAAACCAAAGCAGACAGCAAAGCGAGCTTGTTGATGCTTCAAGGACACCTGCTGACACGTTTTCATGCAGGCTGGCCAGGAGCGACATGGAGAATAGTCCACCAACAAATTCTTATTTTTATTGTTTCCTGTATAATCTATTTGAGATATTTTTTATTGCTCTCCTAACTGTGTTACTCTGTGTACATTCAGCCATCGAATGACTCAAGATATGAATATGAAACTGTACTAGAAATATGTACATAAAAACATAGTATGTATTTTAAACAGTTATTTAGAAGTTCACATTCTACTAATGTTTATAAAACTGCTGTCAGATAATCTCTTCAGTGCCTGCCAGCTGACATGCTGCATGTATGGAATTCCCACCCTGCTTCTGTTACAGTTTCCACTTCAACAGCACCGCTAACACAGTAGCTAATGATACATCAGGTATTTCTCTGATACTGTCGGCCCAACGGCTTCCCCAGTACGATCAGCTCATGGCTGACATCGGAAGAAAAAGGATGGCCTTCTGTCCAGGTCCGGTTCGGGATCCCAACTTGTACTGCCCAGTCCGTTTCAGTGCCACATACCAGTTCGGATGTTCCCGGGAGCGATACGTGTTGTAGTTGTTGGACTCCAGCCTCTCAAAGAAGTAGCATTCATCTGTTGCCCGTTTCTTAAACAGAATGGAACAGAACACTGCATGGTCAGCCACCAATACTATACTGGAAAAAAACTATTCCAAGATATTTTTAACATTTATCTATATGTTGAAGGAGGTCTGCATTGTTTTATTTTAATTATAATTCAGATTCAAAGCAAAGAACTCCATTTTGAGACAGGACACTTCATATTATGTCAACGATGGAATGTCAGGGTGTGACTGCTCTCTGGGGGGGGGGGGGGGGGGTATTTCTGGGCAGCTTTCCCCCTTTCTTTCTCCTCACTTCTGCAGGGAGATCGAGCCAAACCCAAAGAGCCCATATCGCTAATATATCTCAACATGGAAATCCAAAATATAAATAAACGTTGCAAATTATCCTTTTTTTCCTGAAAAAAAAAACCAAAACATAGCGGTAAAAAGAATCACTCACCCTTCCCACAAAACTGAGCAAAAAATGGCTTTCCTGCAGCAAGAGATACTAGCAACTGCACCCGGAAGGGGAGCACATTAATGTCCCTAATTCAGCATCTGCAGGAGACTTTCTGACATCTGGCTCAGATCTGTGTCACCAAGGGCAATGGGGTCCCCACCACAGCCTTCAAACCAGAGCTACTCCCAAGTTTTCTTCCCGCTCAAAGTAGTTTCCAACCCCACTGAGGATAGACTTAATTTGCTTAGCGGAACATAATCTCCTTTTCCATTGGTCTACACACAGAAAACATTAACAGTTCATCATCTGCTCTTCAACAAAACTGTAGGATCTATGAGTTCTCCGCATAAATAGGCTTCCAAGATAGACAACGGTATGCAATTAACATTGTGTGAAGGATTTATTAGAATTACTAATTGGAAGAAATCAGAAGGCTAGTGTAATAAAATCTGCTGCAAGAGGAGACAAACAAGCACAGTAAAATGGGGGTGAATTCCAGATTGAATTGGAGTGCTGATTAAATTATTAATCATGAATATATATTTGAAAGATTCATAAAGATTAAAGATGAAAAATATTAAAAGAAAGATAATCTTTTATAAAAAATATAAAAATGAAAAATGGTTTTGGTATCATTGTTGGTTATTAAAATTCAAATGAGGGCAGTAGCTTAGAAGTTATTATTTATGTGAGATTTTTTGACATTTATTTTAGAATTTAAAGCCAAGTTGAAATTGAAATTGATCATGAAAGTGAATTGAAACGTTTTTCAGAGCAGGTTTTTTAGTGTTTGCTCTACCACATACCACATGAGCCTATGACAACTTATGTTCTGATACATACAAGTTGTGTGTTGAGAGCTTAGAAATGAGCCAAACATCAAAACAGAAATAGAAAACAGTGCGTGAATTAGGCAGAGGACTGAGGAACTTGGGCTTTGTCTAAACATCAAGAAACTCAAGAAAGTCCATCAGTGGGAAGGAAGGGAAACAAGCTAGAAGAAGCTTAGGGAATGACGACTGTGTATCGGGGGAAAAGCATGAAGCATGCTGATAAGGAGTGGGATAATGTGAATGGACCGTCATGTATCACCACACATATCATACAGATGCGGAATAATCCGGTAATATGTGGTATATCCAGAGAAATACACAGTCAAACAGGTAACCTTAGGAATTGTCATGCCTAATTTTTATGGTTTGAGGAAACCCACATCATTTGTTAAACTGGGAATCTCTTACAGCCAAGAAAACCAGTCACCTGGCTCCTCATCCCAGAGGGTGTGAGGAACACAAGTCAGCTCCTCAGAAACCACGAGCTTCCTGCCACGACCAAACTGCCTCTGACCGCCATGTCCATGCTGAGCATGGGGAGGGTCGAGCTGATGTTCTGAGCTTCACACACTAAACAATTAAAACCCAAACACCAGAGATAGGTGTGGCAGCATTAGGCTTTATATTTAGATACATCTCTGTCAAGTTGTACCGTTCTATGAGTCATAATGACCCAACTTTCACTTGTTTCATAATATAGGCTGTCCGGAACAGGATACAGATATCCATATAACAGTTGCATGACTTCATTTAGCCTGAGCATATGGACTGATCCATCAGATATACCACTGGGCAGGACTGTCAAAGAGATAGGGTCTGTAGTTTTTAAACGAAGTAACTCATAGTATGGTCAATTCAGTTGTGAGTAGCATTGATCACTATTACAATAGTTATTTATTCAATGTTTACAAAATGGTCATAATTAGGCAGATAGGTTTGTTCTCTATTTCTAAGTAGCACAGATTACAAAAGTCTGACTTCTGAATATCATTGGTACTCTTCCCAGAGCTACTTTGTTGACCTGATTTGAGTCAAAGGGTCACAGGAAGTACACAGGCCAACCCAAGCAGGTGTGTTGGAATTTTGGCATGAATTGGGTGTGGAAATTCCTTTGGAGAATATGCACCTCTACAATTCTTGACAGCTACATTAGGAAAATCCCAAAGAACCCCCCCTCCCCCCCCCATCCCAGTTAGTTAAAAAGACATCCTGGCAAAACTCTGAGCACTGTGAAGAATGAACATTGTAGCACACTGCACTGATTTTGTTGATGTGGACAATGAAATCATAGCAAGAGAATTTCCTCTGGGCATCATCTGAAGAACAGCCTGAATTCCTGAACAGAGCCCAAGTCCTGCTTGCCACAGACAAAGGCAGACTTAAAAAATATTTTTTTTTTTAGCTGTTAGAAGTAAGCAAAAGAAAGAGCAGAATGTTTGAAGAATCATATTGTAGGAAACTTCCAATTTTTGGTTTATTATGACCTATAATAACCTAAATCTGGACTAATTACAACAGCTTCAATCCGTTTCTTCTTAAGTCAGACAAGTGTAAAAGCTAAAGGAATGCATTATTATCTTACCGTTCCAAAGAGTCTCCCATCATCGTTCATGGCCAGATAGCGGCTGGATGAAACTCCCTTGATTACTACAACCCCAATTGAGGTTGCTTGGATCTGCAGCTTAACTGAAAAATAAGTTGTTTTTACCAATGAGAAGTTCAGATACAAAATATGAATGGTATTGTCTTCCCTTATACTAAAACTGCCATTAAACAAATTCAGTCAAGCCTGTTAATGTTCAGAAACACATCTACATGTATGTACATCCTCCATTTGACTTTAAGAAAGGTTTTTCCAAGATGCAGACATTTAGGAATTGCCTGACAAGAAAGTGCAGAAATGCCAGTGGTTTCTGAAGGACCCTCTACTTCACATTTGGGTTGAGGTTTCAGGATGTTTGCCTTGGCGGACGGGATCAGCTCCAGTTCCGTCACTGGGAATGTGTGCACAAATCCATCTGTAATGCTTTACAGTGACTAATATACATTTATAGCATGGAAGAATCAAACATATTGGAATACAAAATATCATCCGATGGAGAATTTGATGTAGCTCTACATACTAGGGCATGGTGAAAAGTTCATCTGAGGAGCCTTTCTTTAATTCAAGTAGAGGAGCACAATTAATACAATTACGTCTTTCCTTTTCTTAAAAGTCCAAAGGTTGTGTCTTTTTCTTTGTTCCTTGGTGGAGAATTTCTACCCAACACGTGAGGACTGAGAGGAGGCAGATAGAAGGTGACTGCAGATGAGGGACTGTCAGCGGGGGGCGGGCACCTGCTCCTCCCGGCAGGGACGGAGCTTGTGGGAAGGCGCTGTTTAAGGGCAGCTCTTTGCAGCTTCACCCACGCAAACGATTTTCTTTTTCCTACTCCTACTCTTACAAGCGTTCCGTTACGGACGAGTGAACGAACGCCCCTTTTTCGTTCGTCATATGAGGTTAGGCCTTCCGGCTGGAAGATGACCTTTTTTTGGTTTGAGAAGGGGAAGGAGGGAAGGGGGGCATTTTTCATGCTTCTTCAACAATATATGGAAAACATCAGTTGTCAATATGGCTAATAGTGACAATTTCCAATTTGCACAAATACTGCTACAGAAAATGGAGATGATAGAGGTCCTGTTATACATCATTACTGCCTCATAGTTTAGGCAAAATAATTGTGACTAAGTTTTATAAATAAACAGTACTTTCTGATTTAACATCCTTTTCCTATTACAGCTTTTGTATTGCTGCATCCACTTGGCTTCCAAAGCAAGCCCCTGGTAAGATTTGGAACTGAAGGGATCTGAAACGCATCGGAAAGAAGATAAAGAAGATAAACAGCTAATTGCAGTGTGAAGTTGAGCAACCGATAACTGATGATAAACAGCTGATTTCCAGGAAACATCATAATGTTCCTTAATTACGTGTCACTGCATGCTATTTAATCTCTATTAAGAGATTACATTTACATATTCAGGCCATTAACAAAAATTATTTGCCCTACTTACATAATTGGCAAAAACAAAACCTGTACGTTTAAGTTCCCTTTTATTAATGCAACAGATAACACATAACAAGATGTATTGAAATGTACTGAAGAAATGTTAAATTGTTTATTAATGTTTAAAATGGCATGCCTTCCCTTTCAGAATCGCTGCTTGCTGTGTCCCGAGCAAAACTCTGCCATCTGTTTCACACTTATGAACTTACAGTTAAGACAGGTCTGTGTGCTTGAAAACAGGCAGCATAGTCTGTAGGTATATTTCTCTGCAGCACTGACACTATTGCGGCCAGAAACACAAGAACACCTGAAAAGTTCCCTTCTTGTTAAAGACCTTCACTAACTTAATAAAGATACTGAAGGGAGTGTGAGTCTCTCCCACAAGCTTAACTGGCTCTTGTAACCACTGCAATACCTAAAAGAATATCTTAAAAGGTGCCATTTTCCCACAATGCACTTACTGTAAGTCAACATACACATAAGAGCTAGGAACATATGTGAGGGTTTCTCTAATGTATTAAAGACTAACTGTGATATTAACTGTTCATATTCAAACAAACAGTATGATGTTTCCTTTCATAGCTAATCATAATACTGTCATTATACAACTCTTATACAGTATCATATAGGCAACCAAATATAGATTACTAAAATATTCTTATAAACCTTCACACTAAATTCACACCGAAATAGTGCAAGCTGCAAACTTCCAGAACAAACCAGATGGATCTGGTTTAGAGACAGATGCGGCTAATGCTGAGTTCCGTTCTGAGTGTGTGTGTGTGTGTGTGTGTAGAAGGCCAGGAACAAATACATGTTACTCCGTCTTCCAGCTCATTTCATCATGCTTAGTAAATGCTTCTGTGATAATCATCACACTTTCAGACTGTGCGTGTTACAGTCACGTGTGCGCACACCAAAATATAGGACACACATCACTAGAAAATCCCTTGTTTACATTTTAGATCGTGAACGCTAAAAAGTACACAGCCTAATTACTTATATTAGTGAGGTGTCAGTGCATGTGAATGAATTTTAAAAGTAGAGAGACACTTTTTATGTCATTGTTGGGAACATATTTTTTGGCAGATGAATTGTGGGTGCAGATTTCCCGGGACAGACGACATCAGCCAAGGTGTATGCTTGTGCCCTCTGCTTTGATACCCAGCTATACTGACTTGGATGAGCGAATGAAATCACTTACTGTGAGTGTCAGTTTTCTCCCGAGTCCCATCCACCCTCCCGTCCGCGTTGATCCTCAGGAAATAGCCGCCGTTTTTACAGTACAGCTTCTTGAGTTCCTTGAAGGTGCCGGGGAGGAACGAGCCACTTCCTCCGTCTTCGGGTGCGGCAGGGAGTGTGGTGATTCCCCCGGCAGCCATCTCCCGTCCACCGCTGTCCACCCCGCCCCCCCAGCCCCCGGCCTGTTCTATACGGCGCCCGCAGGCTGAGGGCCGTTTAGCTGAGAGCCGGATCTGGCCTCTGTTCACTGTGTGCTGCAGTGTTCAGCCCCTCTGCTGGTCGGATGAGAGCCTAGAGTCTGTGTAACGTTGCCCAGCTGGGTTCTCGGTGCGCCTGCGCGTGCCAAACAACATTCCCTCCCTCCCTCTCTCTCTCTCTCTCTCTCTCTCTCTTTCTTTCACTAAACTGGCCCACCTAACCCAGTGCCAGAGCTGAGAGGGGGCGACTTTGTAAACACTGCTGCGTCACATGACCCCACAGCGACCCTGGGTGTCCTGGGTGGGTGTTGGTTGACATCATCAGGTCTGGGTGGAGGTACACGCATGTGGCCCACTGCCTCCTTCAGCCTACCTGACATATAACAAGAGCTTCATACCACATGCTGGACAACACAGGAGTGGTTTAGGAGAAACCTTCAGAGAAGCAAATCGGTATATCTGCAGAGGGATGAGGACAGACGAGTTTTGGGAAGGTATCAGATGTAAGCAATTTGATAGCTGTACAGGAGTCATTTATAAGCTATAATCACAGCTAGAGAAAGGTGACCGAGACACAGGAAAGGGTGCTATCAGGTCAGAAACCTCTACACCCAGAATACACAGAGATCAATGGGGTAATATCTTCACCTGAAACTCAAAGAAATAGTAAATTGACTGCTTACAATCAGGGAATCACTGAATAGGGTGTAATGTACAATATATGAAGATTTGTAGAAGTTATTAAACGAGATGCCCACGATGGACTCACATAAACCATGAATAAACCCCAAGCTCCTGGGTGAGGAGCTAAGCCTGCTGGGAATAGCATGAGCTTCCAGAACCTCGTGGATCTAGGTCTGTGTCCACTATTTAGGGGGGGGGGGATTCCAGAGTCAAAAGAGACTCGATGGAGATCACCAGGAGCTCCATACAAACCCCTCACAACCTGGGAGAACATGCAAACTCTTCTTGTGGCATTACTAAAAACTGAAAGAGTAAATGACCACTGTCAAGAAGATCTATCAATGGGTCTTGAAATCCTCAGTTCATCTGAATAGTTTCACATTCTACTCACATCTCCATCAGATCACAAATTTATTTTCTTAACCAAAAGTGCTTCAATGGCACTGTGAAGAACTGAAAATTTGCCAGCTTCTGTGATGTGGCCATGTATTAATCCGTAAGGGTTTAATGGGTTAAATCCCTGCTGCGTTTGGTGGATTGTTGTGGTTATTCTGTGACTTTCAAACATTGAGTTTGCCACATCTGACGTTCTTACTGGAATGGCTTAATTTGATTGCAGTTATTCAGCTCTGAAGTAGCAATTATGGTCATCTGTTGAACTTGCTTAGCATTTCAAATGGCAAGGAACTACAACCCAGTACATAATTGTTATTCTTTTATTGATTCTTAGTATAACATGCAAGAAACACACTATCAATAAATGTTAGAATATTCTAAGAAATATATTGGTTGGAAGATGAAATGTACACTATATGTGTGCGCGTATATATTTGTGTATATATTCATTTCCTTTTGAAAATTGATAGTGCTTTATTTAGAGTACAATATGCTAAATAAATGTTTGCTTTATTAACTGTCTGAATTCTGGAATGCGAAAAAATGTCAGTGTGCGATTGATAAAAAGACTAGAATTTCATGAAAACAAAACTACTCAGGTTTTTCACAGGAAGTGATGCGCTCATGGCCCATCAGGTTGTCCTGCGTTGCTCACGTTTCCGTGGGCGGGCGTGGCAGGAAAGCTGTTAAACACTGGGTGGAACTTCTTGTAAGAATGTGGTGTCCCCATTATGACCTTGCAGATACATCAATACACCAGTCTCACATACTATTTTGTTCCTTCATGCAAAATCAAAGAACATTACAACAAAGAGCTGGAAGTTAATGGGCACTATCATAAGCCTCTCACATTGTCATTTCTGCATCGACTCCTATTCAAGTAGCAACACTGGGGAAGGTTGAGTATCAGGGTTTGATGCCCTTTTCCTAAAAGTGATATCAGAATGTATCTCCTACATCTTGTGAATAAAAAGCTACACCTTTATCCATGTAAAAAAACCTTCACACAACCGTGTTGTGAATTGTGCTATATAAACATGAATGTTTATGTGTAGAGTTTGCATCTTCTCCATATGTTGTATGGGGTGTGTGCGCTGTGATTGACTGGCATTCCACCAGCTCCCCTTTATGTTAACCACATGCTTCTGTAACAGTCCTCCTCAGCAAAATGGAGCCAAACTGAATACTCCAACCACACCCATCCCCAAAGTATGCAAAACATAAACACTCACTTGGCGACAACAGAATGTTCATTTAATATCAGAAAATCTTTGTGCTTCGATGAAGTATCCCTAATATGCTTACTTAAGAATTTAAGTAAGACTTTGGCACATTGCATCCTTTAACTGTACTAAAATAGTTCAGCTTTACCATCAATTTCTTGATTCAACATCATCTTTGTAAAAGAAAAATAGGAAAAATTGTGAGACAAGCTGTTGATAAAAATGGATAAAAAAAGGAAACAAGTGGAATTTGTAATAATATGCCCAGACATGAATAAAAGTGCTTTAATTATGCAAACAAAGACAAGCCACAACACATAATATCGCCTCATCAAAAAGGGAAACTTACTCCAGGTTGTAATCATTATTCGGTGTTACTGGTCCACAAGTTCAGTGTTTGCGTTCTGCTTATGTGAGCTGCTCTGCACAAAATCACAACTTTGTCTCCCTCTATTGGCCAAAATGATTCCAAAGTGAAATTACGGTAATGGGGGAGCTCAACATGACATGGATTTCCTAGGACTTCTAATCATTTCCTAATTCAAAGGAATCGAATAGAATGATCAGGAGGTGGTTTTATTAATTTGCCTGCCTGTCTTTTTCTACAATTAATAAACTTCAAATCAAAACCAATATAAATCATGAATACTTTTAGCTGGCATTTATATAATGCTAACAGATGATAAAATAAGTTTTTAAAACTGAGGTAGGACTATTAAGTGTAAATTAATGCAAATGTCAAATCATGTCCATAAAAAATGTATTTTTTGGGTGTTGGGATATATAAAAAAAAAATCTGACATATTCACTATACAAAATGCTTTATTTATTAGATTTACAGCAGCAGAAAATCCTCCAGCCCCTGTACATCGGTGCTGGAGATGCCGGTGATAATCTCCACATCTGTCTGGAGCACTGTTAGCACCAAGTCCAGAGCTCTCCTCCAGGCCTCTAGTTTTACAGTTACGTTGTCATAAATGGCTGCGGTTTGTCCATCACCTATGCCCTGCCCTGAGGGTTGCTCCCAGAAGCCACTCAGCCGGGTTGACCTTGAAGCCTCAGGCCTCAGCTCTTGCCCAAGGACTGTACAGGCTTCCAGCTCTGACGAGCACTTGCCGGTGCTGGACATCAGCATGGCGACGTAATCCACCCAGCCACGTGACATGCGCTGCAATACGATTGATCTGTAGGGACTGTGTCCCCTTGAAGCATATGTGGACCCCATTCCACTGTCATGCTCCTGCTTGACATTATCTTCAGCTGCTTTCAAGAGGTGTTTTACGCAAAGCATTTCAGTCACCCCAGCTCCCGGAAGGAGCTTCCCATCCAGGAGTGCATGGTGCAGCCTGTAGGCGCAACCCCAAAAGCGATCCTCCAAGGCTTGCAGCTTGGCTTGCACGGCACTCGCAATGACCACTGTGACCAGCGCCGATCCCATTGCCCCGATTTTCACACCCACAGCCCTGTGTCTCTTTGATCTTCTCCGACCAGGGCCGCCCCAGAAGGTCACCTGCACGCCACCTCCAACACAAAGCTCACACAACTGCGTGGCATAAGTCACCGGTATTGCTCCTGTCGCTTTGGCGAAGTCCTTCAAAACTTCGGGCCTCACCCGCTCAATGATGAGGATGTTGTGCCGGAAGCAGGCCTCGGCAAGATCTTCAGACACGACCCCATTCACCAGAAGCACGTTCACCTTCAGCCGTAGCAGCATTTCTGAAACATCAGCCACCCACTTATCTCCCCTGCTTGGCTTCATCGGGTTCAAACTTACGCCGATGTTCCTGATGTCAGAGGGCTTGTTGTAGCCCAGATGCCGGTACTTCTCACTCAGATCTCCGCCGATGAGGGCGACATGGAGATTTTGATCCTTCAGGCGATCGACTATCGAAGCCTGCTCCACAGACGCAAATGTGACCAATCCTGATGCCACACATGAGCACTCCTCTGAGAAGCCAGGCAGCAAGCATGTGACCAGTTTACTGACATCGAAAACACATTTACTAAAATCTCCACATCTTGCGTTCTCTGTTTGAATCCTGCTTGCCTCTGTGACTAACTTCATTAAGCTATCACTACCATGGCAGACAGTATTTGCAAGGAAGGCAATGTCTTGGTATTCAAAATTGTGCCGAGGCAAGAACGATGACTCAATTGACCTTTTGCAGCCCACTTCTGTCCCAGTGGTCTCCTCATTTTGACTGAAATGTCTACTATGTCTCAGTTTTAGATTGTGTCTAATCATTGTGGGAAACTTGTTATCTTGACAAGATCTCCCAGCCAGGCATCTAGACTTGCTTACACCTTGAGCTGGCAGATGAGAAAAGCAAGTAGCAACAGAAATGATCTGTGACCCATTTGATACTCTTTCAGAACCCTGGGCAGAAGCAACTGTTGAATTCCCCTGCCTTCTTGGTCCACAACCAACAAGGCGAACAACCTCCTTGAGGGACACACAACTCATCTGACAGGCCTCAGAGCACAATTCCAGGCCCTCAGTCATAGACGAAACAACATCATGCACAGGGATACCTTCACGGAGGCACTCCAGAGCTGCCGAGCTCCACGCCCCAACCATAAACACCAGGGTCACTGTCCCCATGTGGAAGCTTTTCAGATGGGCCTGCACCGTCTCGAGGAGCAGCTGCACTGCCGCACAGCCAGTGTCCATGCTTTCCAGCAGCCGCAGGGGAGAGCACACCAGACTGGACCCGCCGTCATCCTCATCTACCACGAACTTGTACCTTTTATCGGGGCCTAGGAAAGAGCGTGCAGAGCCTGCCAACGTCACCAGCTGCTGCAGCCCCTCATGGCGCTGGCGGTGGACGACCCTGCACCCGTACACCGACATCTGAAAACAAAGACATTAAATCAAGGCCCAGCACTCTCATGCACGTACAAGTACATAAAAACCACCTCCAATGATTCATCAGCACTCCTGAAATCAACCAGATAAGGAAGGAGGCAACATGCTGGTCTTTTCCAGCTACTGTATTCCGAACACTGATAAACAAGCAAATTCCTTAACCGATACCACTTATCCAAAAACCTGAATAAATTGTAGTTTTTTTAATGAACGGGAAACCAGAAAATGTAACAGGTATACTACTGTAAGAAATTAAATATAAAATGCTGATATATAGGTGAATGATATGAGCATGAATAAGCAGGACGAATATCAATTAATTGCAAATCTATGAGACGTCATTGCAACTGTCTAACTTCATACAACCATTTTAGGTCTGTGTAAATTAACGTAAGATACGTAACTTACATCACTATCAGCATTCTCAGCCATGAATTAATTTGCTAGCCGGCCGTTCTTGACAATTTGCATTTCTGTGCTGACTGAACATGTCATTTAAAAAGCATACATTACTACATTTAACAGATCCTTTGTAACATAGTAAAACAGTCATCCAACTTGTGACTTAAGGTAAATGTATGGACCTAATTCCATTCCAAATGGGGTTTTAATTATTACTAATTAATAATTACAATTGCTATTTTTTGATTTACAATATCTCTCTATGAATACACAGCAAGGACCATGTCATAAACTGCCCCACTCAGACTTACAGTCCACTCATTGCACTGTGTTATCAGCAGTCATATGACTGCTACCCGCTGCCCAGCCCATTTAAAGCTAAGCGGCTTTGGGGCCGGGCCAGTACCTGGCTGGGAGACCAACTGGGAAAGCTGGGTTGCTGCTGGAAGAGATGTTGGTGTGGCTGACAGGTTAGCCCATCTTGTAGTCAGTATGGATTCCAATGTCCCAGTGCATTGACAGGGACACTGTGCTGTAAAAATGGTGCCGTCCTTTGGATGGGACATCAAACCAGGGTCCTGCCTCTCAGAGGTCAGATCCTTCAGTGTTCTTCGAAAATGTGATACCCTGATGCCCAGGCTAAAACTGCCCACTGTGATGGCCTTCTAATCATCCCTGTATCTAGTTGATGAATTCCAACTAGAATTCACCAGCACCTTAGCTACTGGGTGGTGAGCATACTGGCCCAGAATGAATGGCTGCCGTCGCATCATCCAGGTGGGGGCTACACGGTGGTGGGGGTCGAAATGGCTCCCCACTGGTCCTGTAAAGCTCTTTGGGCGTTTTGGAAAGCGCTGTATAAATGTAACATTCATATCTTTAATCATTATGCCACCTACAGGCAGAATACTAAAAACATTAAGTTCTCCCCATATTGTATCAGTTTCCTCTGGGTACTTCAGTTTCCTCCCACAATCCATAAAGATGCAGTATGGTGCACTGGCTTCACTTGAAGTCCCATGGAGAGATTGTGTTTGTGCCCTGTGATGGACTGTACCCATACCGTGTGCCTTAAGCGGTCTCCGATATGCTCCCCAGCAATTCTGTGCTGTATGGATCAAAGGTGGTTTAAAACGCCGAACAGAAAATAGTATTACGGTTAAATTAATTAGAATTCGAAGCGTAAGGTTCTGTTTTGTTTTCGGTCTGCCCCTGTGCATATGAAGAGCTCAAATCTATACGACTAGATACGTAGTCGAATTTCTCTTACAAACACACTGCTGTTTAAATCCCATCTTAAAACGCCGTTTGAGACTATTTAAAAAAGTAACGATTAAACGAGCCGTATAACTGCAATATATTCAGTATCCAGCTAGCTAACTGGACACCGTTTGTTTCCGTAGCCTTAACTTGCAGTCGTTGGACCGCTAGTGCCTGGATACCTATTCAGGTTGTACTTCAGCAGACGCGAACACCACCCCAAGAAATACTAATGTTACGCTTCTCATTACAATATCAAAGTTTATCTCAAGAAGGAAACGCACCTTTCTCCACGATAGCGAAGCTCATGTTTCTGCCGATTATGTTAGATTAGAGTAGCACTGACGCATGCGCACAAGGCTCCTGGCGGCAACCCGCCAACGCGTTGCCAGGAAACTGAGAAGCCAAATACAACCTAACTGCTTTTGGTCCCGCCCTTTTACTGATTGACAATTGGTCAAATAAAAACGCATATTGCCGGAAGATGCGGGAAATCTCTCTTTCTATTGAGCAAAGGCCTTGTCGATTAAATTGATTTAGACGGTCTGCAGCTAAAGTTTTCTGTTAATCAAACACTCCGTTTTGTTTACTACTGGCTTTCGTGAGTTCGAGGTTGCTAGAGACAACGCGCTAATAAATATTAAATGCATATTATTTGATTAGCTACCTACACTTTGGAGCAATACGTATAAAAATGGTAGGTAATTAACATTAATTAATGTTAAATTAAAGTACACCGCATTGGATCATTATTGAATCCAGCTAGCTAGAACACGGCGTAACTAGTTACTTTTGGTAGCTAAAGTGCAATTTTAGTTTTTAGAAGCTCGACCTCGTTAACAGCATGACATATTCATTAAGCTTAATACGTATGAGTAGTGTATTCGTGTCTCCTGTTCTTGTAAAGCACTGCTCTAGCTGAATTTATTGTTGAGGTAATTTTATATTATATATTATAACAATTATTATACTGTGCCCGTATTCCAATAAGCCTGAGAAATTAACGCATTGCTGAGCAATTAGTGAACGTCAGTTTTACGATCGATGACCCTTAATTTTATTTATTTGCCCGTTTGTATTGCATCCAGCCAGACTGCCATCTGTTAATTTCTGTTGCTGGTTACCCATCTCTTGGTTGCGTATTTGCTGATTAGTTCTGCTGCACATAATGTTTAATATTTTACATCTACAACCACACGGTAAACTGATATATTCACAGAGGCTGGATTCAGGATCAGTAGATGTAGGGTACACATATATATATATATATATATATAAAGAAATAAACGCATATGTGGACTTGTTAATCTGTTGACATCGCTGTTGCCAAGGCATCCAGCTACAAGAAGCCCGGCGTTGCCCTGCACCAGAGGAAAAAAGCCGCTTCCAAACCAGATCTAACCGAGGAGCAGAAGCAAGAGATCCGGGAAGCCTTTGATCTATTTGACACAGATGGTTCAGGGACCATTGATGTCAAGGAGCTTAAGGTCTGGTTAATACAGCAGTGTCGTCATCATAATTATTTTTAAATAAACCTATTTAACCAGTTTAAATGTGTCTGGGACTACAGTAATGGTGGTTTTGATTGTTACTACCTTCTGAGCACATCTCCATCCTTTCATTTTCCAACGTCTTATTTAGTGCAGGGTCAATTTATTCACTTTCCTATCTGAAGCTAGTATGCAAATAAGCACAAGTCGCATTATTGTCTAATGTCAGAGTAAATATCTGTGTTGCTTGCACTTGTGCGTGGATTGTGTGAAATCTGCACCTTCCTTCCGCAGGTTGCCATGCGGGCTCTCGGCTTTGAGCCCAAGAAAGAAGAAATAAAGAAGATGATCTCTGACATTGATAAGGAGGGATCGGGGACTATTGATTTTAATGATTTCTTGAGCATGATGACACAGAAAATGGTAATTTTGTGTCAGCTCATCATTCAAACATTGATTTTCTCTGATAATTGGTTTTTTCACATGTGCCTGGAAACCCGTTTCAACATAGATGTTTTAATTGTGACTGCAGAGTGAAAAAGACTCAAAAGAGGAAATCCTTAAGGCATTCCGCTTGTTTGATGACGATGGCACCGGGAAAATTTCTTTCAAAAACCTCAAAAGAGTTGCCAAAGAACTTGGAGAGAATTTATCGGATGAGGAACTGCAAGTAGGTTCACACAAGGTTAAACCTTAAATTTAAAATGATGATATCTCTACATAGTGTGACAAAAGTTGCTAAACTGTATAAATCAACTAAATATTTTTGTTCATTAAGGAAATGATTGATGAAGCAGACCGTGATGGAGATGGGGAAATTAATGAAGAAGAATTTCTACGAATAATGAAGAAGACGAGTCTATATTAATTAGGGGTCTAACTGTCTGAAATAATGATTTAGAAGGTCTTTCTTAAAATAGTTTGCACTTTGTGTTTGTATCTGATATTTTATGTAGTTTTCTAAAAATTCTCTCTCTTTTGTATTGATTTTTTGACACATTTCCTGCATTCGAGGTGAAATTCTAAAGATGAATAAAAACTTTTCTTAATCTTGGCATCTTTCTTGGTAGGGTGTGACCCAGTGGCATGTATGTTTCTCATTAGAGAACTCCAAAACATTTTTTTTTTTGACAGGTTTAAATTTGCATTAACTTTATTCATGTTATTAATTAAGCACACAGTCACACAATTTCCTGCATGAAATATAGGCAGTAGAATGGTCAGTTGTACAGAAGAGGTTAGTGACTTTCCACTTGGCACCATCCTTGGATGACGTCTTAAATACAGGTCGTTTCAGGAAATTGCTTTCCAGCTAGAGCTGTCCTGGTCAACCACAAGTGAAGTGATCGTGTGAAGGTCAGTCGTAGTGGTAGGTCAGACAACCACAGGAAGGGACCTGATAACCCAACATCAATACCCAACCTGAATGGCAGTGAATCTCACCGCCAATGTTCCAGCATTTAATTGAAAGCCTTCCCAGAAGAGTACAGGTTATTATGGCAACATTGAGTCACCACCTTCATGTTATAACCCTTGGTTTCCGAATATGATATTGTGCAACTGGTGTCTACATATTTTTGGCCATATAGTATTTGAATACCAGCCATTCTAATACATACTCTGGCTTAGTAAGCTTAAAGGATAGTTCTAACCAAAAATACTGCATTTTCTTCATTTCTAGACAATTTTCATTGTTCAAAGGAAATGTTGCAGTCTGCCTATGGAACTGAGTATTTTGTTTAGATGTGTTTCGCCTTCTGTCACTGCTTGACATTTCTGTTTCAGTTTGTGTGGGAATTCTGTGAAGAGTGAAACAGTGAGAATTCTTGCCATTTCACATTTTACCTGACAGTCCTGTTCAGCAAGTCTCTTTATTTTAAATAATTCAAATTTCATTCCGGGTGAAATTCACCACACGTTTTGATCTTCAGTTTTTCATTAATTTTTGATTACATGAAAATGGAAGCACTCAGGCATCATCTCTTTCTCAGTGCCCTATCTCTAGCTTCCGGTCATTACCATCCATTATCTACAATGTAATATTCTCTATATGTGCCGATAATTCATAACCACTTATTCGGTACAGGGTTCCACTGATCCCGGATTGCATCCCAGCAAGCATAACATTGGACAGCATGCCAAACCATTGCAGAATAGTGTGATATATTCTCTACCATTGTAATTGTGTATGCTTTTTTTTGCACCTCACTTGTTTGAAAGTAATAATGATAGTTTTCCATCCATCTATTGATTTTCTGTACCTGCTTGTCCTTTTCAGGGTTGCAGGGGGTCTAGAGCCTATCCTGGAAGCTACTGGTGTAAAGCATTGAACAGCCCAAATACGGTGCCAACCCATCGCAGGGCACACTCACAATTTAGCAACTCCAACCTTGGCAAGTTGTGAAACCATGGGGGAAAACTGGAGTAGCAAGTGGGTACCCCACAGTGACACAGGGATACCATGCGAACTCCGCACATATGGAACCCAGGCGGAGACTCAAACCAACGTCCCAGAGATGTGAGGCAACACTACTAAGTATTGTGCCATCCTGCCACCCCATCGTCAGCTTTTCTAAATGAAAAAATACAATAATGGAAAAATACTGGGAAATGTACGAGGAAGACTTCACAATAATTTCCATCTCACTTCTAATTCCTTTTTCCAGTATAGCGTGTGGATACTGTGGAGCCTCTCCCAGTAAGCATAGGGAAGGGGAGCCTCTGGAGTAGGTTGCCAGACCATGCACACACACTTAACAATTTAGCAACAGAAATTCACCTGCCTTCAGCCTACAGGAGGGCTGGAGAATACATAGGAAATAAGACCAACTAGTTAAGTCCCCTGTGGCTGTGCCTCTTTATGCTCAACTGGTTGGTTGAAACAAAATCTTGAACTACCCACCTCTGGCAATAACTCACGTACAAGAAAGTTGCATAACAAAATTATTTAGCAGTACATGATGGCACAGTTTCCCCTGGCAATTCTACAATTTGAGCAATTCTTGAAAATGGATACATAAAAAATATATTTGTTAGAAGAGAGGAGGTTCTACAAGTCATAGAGTATGTCAATGTAAGGTGGTCAGCCACCTGTATCATCTGTAGCTTATCACTAAAAATGTAATGCATCCGACATACTGTCTGTTATTCACACTGCAGCTTAGACTCATAGACCTTGGTTCCTCATTCCACACTCACCAATAGACCCAACACCTTTCTTGCTTCCACTTGTTGAAACCAAAACAGCTGTCTGGTTTCATGAAGTGCCAGTTCTAGCCTCCCCTCTCTGTATCACATGGATCTATTCACCGCACCAACCAGAGAAAGCCTGACACTGTTGTTCTCAGGCTGATTTAGATGCTGAGCTCAGTCCAGACTGTAGAGCCTGAAAAAGAATCTGAAAACTGGAGTGTCAGCGAAAGTGGTTGTGATTTTCATGACAATGGGGATGTCACTCGGCATCTGGTGATGAGTCACAATGCGATGGGCGGAGCTCATCGGTCAGCCACATATCCTGGAGCTTAGTCATAATAATTTTTACCCGTTTCTTGTTTACTGACCATCATCATCTTCAGTCAGTCCTGGTAACTGCTTTGGATACTGTAGGTAACTGATAGCTGACCCAAATATGCTGTTATAGATGAGGTTGAGGATTCATTTCTGAGTGCTTCAGCAAAGCCCGAAAGGTTTATCCAATGATACATCACTACAATGATACTGAAGGGCAGAGGACGATACAAATGACAGTGAGATGATTTGGCTTTTATTTACACGGCTGTTAAGTTTATGTATTTCTAATCAGTTTCACTATACTTTCAGGGATGAATTGTTAAGAACAGTGCAAGCTGGGGCTTTGATTCGGACGTCCTACACGTACCCTTTCCCCTATTC